GTGAGGGATCGGTTAAGGGTCAGTGGTCAGGGATTAGGTGGTAGGGGATAAAGAGGGCATTTGGCAATTTAGGGGGATAAAGGCTGTTTAAAGGAAATGGGGTGTTAGCAGTGATATCATGGTTAGCAGTGTTATCATGGTTAGCAGTGTTATCATGGTTAGCAGTGTTATCATGGTTAGCAGTGTTATCATGGTTAGCAGTTGTGGTAGATGTGTTTTTGTGAGGTAGGCTGAAAGGAAAATGATTGTTATACTGGGGGTTTGTTCATCAATTTGTTGTATAATTGTTTCTGACAATGGATTCATTCAAATAGGTTTAAAAAATAAATATTTTAGTATTTTATTCAAACCAAATTATCCCATTTTTATTTCCAAGGGGGAACTTGCTTTTTGGTTTCCTGGTGACTTACAGTAAGTTTAGAAAAATATGTCTCCACTCTCCACTTTAAACCAATACATTTGCTTCCACCTCCCCACTTGACGGTGCTCTGCTTATGTACTGTACTTAACATTGTTTTTTAATATGGTTAAGGGCACTTTAGTCCTCTAGTGCACAGTATACACACTTAGTTCTCTTTATGACAGGATAATGTGATGTAATTATATGTATCCCACTAAATGAGAATACTCATGCTAAAATATGGAGTGAGATTAGAGCGTTGATATGTGACAGGGTGAGAGCAAAGTCACCAGCTGTCACAGGATTAAGACGAGCAGACATTACAGTGATTATAAGACATGTATGTCATTACCAGAGCTGTAATTATAGACTCATAAACTCCATTAATATGTTGCATAGAAGCACAAGCCCAAACACCCACCCACCCAAACACACACACACACACCCACACACCCACACACACCCACATTTCACATAGACAGAGACACAAACATACTTGCACACATACACCCTGCACACGCGCACACACACACACACACACACACACACTAACACACACACACACACACACACACACACACACACACACACACACACACACACACACACACACACACACACACACACACACACACAGTCTTGTACAGCTAACCTTGTGGGGACACAACCCTAACCCTAACCCTAACCCTAACCCTAACCCTAACCCTAATTCAGTCCCATTCAAAATCCTATTTTCCCTAACCCTAAACCTAACCCTAACCCTAACACTAACCCGTACTCTTACCCTAACCCTAACCCTAACCCTAACCTTAACCCTATCCCTAACCCTAACCTTAACCCTAACCCTAAACCTAACCCTAGCTCCTAAATCTAACTCTAACCCTAGCTCCTGACCCTAACCCTTAACGTAATTCTAACCCTAACACTAATTCTAACCTTAACCCTAAACCCCCTAGAAATAGCATTTCCAGTTGGTCAAATTGTAGTTTCTTACTATTCTTGTGGGGACTTCTGGTCCTCACAAGAATAGTTAAACATGTCCACACACACACACACACACACACACACACACACACACACACGCACGCACGCACGCACAGAGGCACGCACGCACACACACACACACACACACACACACACACACACACACACACACACACACACACACACACACACACACACACACACATACACACGCACACACACGCACACACACACACACACACGCACACACACGCACACACACAGAGCATCACCATAATTGCTGTACAGTCAGCCTCTGAGTGTCTGGGTGGGTTTAGAAGTGTTGTGATGACAGCTATGGATGCTGGAGTCACGCTGGCCTGTCAGAGGGCTGACGTTAATACCATTATCAGGGCAATTATTCACTTCTTAAGTGCACTGTCTACTTACTGTATTCTAATGGATGCATCAGAGTATAACACATCCTCTGTTTTTTATTATTTTGTCGGGTTGGTGTGTTTTTTAGTTTTCACTTTAAATTGTCACATACATCAGATAGGTGCAGTGAAATGTGTTTTACAGGGTCAGCCATAGTAGTGCAGCACCCCTGGAGTATCGACAGATTTTTCACCTTTTTGGCTCAGGTATTCAAACCAGCGACCATTTTGGTTACTGGCCCAACGCTCTAACTGCTAGGCTACCTGCCGCCCTGTGTGTGTGTGTGTGTGTGTGTGTGTGTGTGTGTGTGTGTGTGTGTGTGTGTGTGTGTGTGTGTGTGTGTGAGCTTGTGTGTGTTTCAGCTTGCTTTCATAACTGTGTCTTCAAATGTTTCTGTGTATTTTGTACAGTATTAATGCTTTCTGTTGAACATCTTTACATCTCATTTTGTGTGTTACTGTGACTGTGTGTATGTGTGTTAGTGTGCCTGTATGTATGTGTGTTAGTGTGACTGTGTGTATGTGTGTTAGTGTGACTGTATGTATGTGTGTTAGTGTGACTGTGTGTATGTGTGTTAGTGTGACTGTATGTATGTGTGTTAGTGTGACTGTGTGTTTGTGTGTTAGTGTGACCGTGTGTATGTGTGTTAGTGTGACTGTGTGTATGTGTGTTAGTGTGACTGTGTGTATGTGTGTTAGTGTGACTGTATGTATGTGTGTTAGTGTGACTGTATGTATGTGTGTTAGTGTGACCGTGTGTATGTGTGTTAGTGTGACTGTGTGTATGTGTGTTAGTGTGACTGTATGTATGTGTGTTAGTGTGACTGTGTGTATGTGTGTTAGTGTGACCGTGTGTATGTGTGTTAGTGTGACTGTGTGTATGTGTGTTAGTGTGACCGTGTGTATGTGTGTTAGTGTGACTGTGTGTATGTGTGTTAGTGTGACTGTGTGTATGTGTGTTAGTGTGACCGTGTGTATGTGTGTTAGTGTGACTGTGTGTATGTGTGTTAGTGTGACTGTATGTATGTGTGTTAGTGTGACCGTGTGTATGTGTGTTAGTGTGACTGTGTGTATGTGTGTAGGTGACTGTATGTATGTGTGTTAGTGGACTGTATGTATGTGTGTTAGTGTGACTGTATGTATGTGTGTTAGTGTGACTGTATGTATGTGTGTTAGTGTGACTGTATGTATGTGTGTTAGTGTGACTGTATGTATGTGTGTTAGTGTGACTGTATGTATGTGTGTTAGTGTGACTGTATGTATGTGTGTTAGTGTGACTGTATGTATGTGCATATTTGTGTGCCTAAATACTGTATGTCAGTTCCTCAAAATGCTTTGCCTAGAATTGTACTGAACGGAATCAAATGACTAGTAAACCGGCAAACATATGCTTGGCTCAGTGTTCTGTGATTGGTCCTATTTGCTGACCAGTAATAACTGTGTGTGTGTGTGTCTCAGTGTTTGTGTCTCAATGTGTGTGTCTCAGTGTGTGTGTGTCTCAGTGTGTGTGTCTCAATGTGTGTGTGTCTCAGTGTGTGTGTGTCTCAGTGTGTGTGTGTGTGTCTCATTGTGTGTTTGTGTGTTTCTGTATGTGTATGAGTGAGTGTATGTGTGTATTAGTGTGTTTATGAGTGAATGTGTGTCTCAGTGTGTGTGTTTCTCAGTGTATGTTTGTGTGTATCTGTATGTGTATAAGTGAGTGTATGTGTGTATTAGTGTGTGTATGAGTGAGTATGTGTCTCAGTGTGTGTGTTTCTCAGTGTGTGTGTGTCCTCTGTTCCTCTGCTCCTAGTGTACATGAGATGTGAAGCAACAGACTGCAGGTGTCCTGGGAAAGTACAGCTATCAAGGCTGAATAACTCATCACTGTCTGATGTACCGTATCTGTACTGCAGCTCCTGTAGATGAGGTGTGTATGTGTATGTGTGTGTGTGTGTGTGTGTGTGTGTTTAAATGTTGATGAAATAGGCTCTCTGAAGGTCAGTGTAGAGCAAGCAGGGACTCCTTAGTCTCGTGCTAATGGTGCATTAATGATACGCAGACTGGCCTTTCACACACACACACACACACGCGCATGCACATGCACACGCACACACACACACACACGCACACACGCACACACGCACACACACACACACACACACACTTACACACAAAAAGACAAGCACACTCAAGCACACACAGACAAACACGTAGACATACACACACACACACACGTGCGCACGCACGCAGGCAGACACATACACGCGCACACACAGACAAACACGTAGACACACACACAGGCTGACAAAAGGTGACATTGCACATCCCTTAACTCTTATTATCCTTGAAATAAAAAGGTTATGAAATGTTTATGAGGTAGTTATGTTGCTCTCCAGCCCAATAAAACAGTGCATTGTTACAAATGTTAAGGCATTTGAACATTCAAAACCACAAAAACAAAGAAATAAAAGAATAGGTTTAGTCATGGTTAGCTCTGGTTCAAGTTGAACAAACAAGTTTATAATACATTTAAGTTACATAATCAAATTGCATTTGAAACCAAAGAGTTGTGCACTAGAATGGATGTGTAATCCAGTGATTTTAAGATAATTTTTCTAGTGGTCACCACATTCTGTGCGGTGTTAATATCACTGTTACATGATGGTAAGGTCCCAAATGGCACCCTATTCCCTTTATAGTGCGCTACTTTGAATAGGGACCATAGGGCTCTTGTCAAAAGTAGTGTAATAGGGAATAGGTGCCATTTAGGATTCAGCCAAGTTATAATATGTGCAGAGTTCAGTATGAATCCCAAGCAACTTTCAGTGCAAAGTGAAGCATCATCCTCATGTTTTATTCAGTGATATTATAGCCACACAATGTACTTTAGCCAGCCCTCAAGAGGGTCACTGTAGGTCGAATGCGAACTTGAGATCCATGCAGGTAACTCAGACTTCCAGGTGAATCATGCATTGGTATCACTAAGAGATTTGTACCTAAAGATTGAGATAGAAGTGTGGATGTCAAGTTTGGATTCAGCCGTTAGTATGTTCTCTATCTAAAAGTTGTGTGTGTGAGGGGAGGTATACTAAGCACTAACATTACCACAAAATAAAACACTAGGTGACAACAAACACACTCACACATCGCTGTGAAGATGCTAGACGCACTTATTAACAATACAATTTCACAGGTGACCACTAGAGGTAGTAATGAGCTCAGTGTGGGGGGAGAAGGGAGTGGCATGGGTGGTCGCAGGGGTTGAGGTGCGGGAAAGCTAGCTCCCGTTTCCCACTTGCCCCGTATGGTCGGGCTCTTACCTTGAAGGTGGATATTGCGGGGTCCCTGTTATACCTGTCTATGGTGTGGAACTTGGTGGTGGGGTGGTTGAGCTCATGGTACAGCTCAGAGTGTCTTTTGCGAGTGTGCATCACTTTCTGGAAGGGAGAGGAAGGTACAACAAAAATGAACAGAATAAGAAAATAAAAGCTAAAGAGACACGGATAGAGGGAAGAGAGGCCAATGAAGCGGAAGAGGGCAAGGGACAGTGTGATGCCAGCCGCGGCAAGGGGGAGGAGGGGAAGAGAGGGATGGATAGATGGATAGACAGCTGGTTCAGTCCTCTCGTCTTCTCTCTAACGTCTAACTATTAGGATTTGATTCTGCCTGTGCTGTGACATGTATATGAGTTTGCTCTGAATGGATATGGGCACCAAGCAGGCTGCGTTAATGTTAGCGGTAGCTAGTAAGCAAGGTAGCGTTAGCTAGTTAGAAGGGTAGCATTAGCTAGTTAGCAATTAGCCTGCAGGGATGTGGCAATGAGTAAACATTCCCTGTAAGCACAGATTTAGGATCAGCTTACCCTCCCCAAATCCTCACCCTCACCATTTAAACTGGTAAAGACTCAACTGACTGTATCCCAGCGTCTAAGAGCAACTACATCCTATTACAAGTGGAAGTCCCTGACAGGAGAGAGACCTTGTCACAGCGACTTGCTCTTTTCGCTAATGGCTAGCGCTTTAGCAGCATGGCGGTGGCTAATCGGCGCAGCAGCTCGAGGGCCAAGAGAGACACAGGGGCCAGACGGCGACACTCACACACTCAGACACTCTGGCCAAGGGCCGGCTGTGACTGCTGCCACCGATTACCACAGAGCCTGCACTCTCTTCTCTCCCTTTCTTTCTCTGTCAGTTCTCTCTCTCTCTGAGTCTGCCTTTATAAGTCATTTATTTTAGGTGTATGCCTACTTCCTTTATAGTTCACCTCTTCTGCACTTCAAAGCTCTCTCTCTCTTTTACTCTGTCCATCTGTTTTTCTCCCCGCTGTCTTCTCTGTCATCACTGCTCTTCTTTTTCTTTTTTGTCTTGAACTCTCACTCTACCTTAAATCTTTCTCTCTCAGACACTTACTAGGTAGAGGGCTACATTGGTGTCCATTTTGACACAGGAATTCAGCCATTTTGAGGAAAATATCATGCAGTTTCACAGACTACGCCAGTCAGGAAGGATTACAAGCTCTGGGTAATAGTTGCCCTTAGGCAACATCATCCTGCTCCAGGTTACTGTAGCTAAGCGCTAGTGCTTGTTAGCCTGTTAGTTGTGCAACAGTCCACACATACCTTAGTTCTACTATGGACGAGGCCTCCACATTGGAAAGCAAGTCTCCAGTCTTTACAAAGTAAGGATAAAGGGGGAAGGAAAGCCACTCACTTAATGAAGTGAAGTAAAGGGGTTTAGTTTAGTTTTTCGGGGCTGTTTGAGACTGGAGATTTGCAAGATTCCTAGGGCTTATTCATTCCATGTAGCGATTATTGCACACAAACACGCACACACATGTAATTACCCGCAAAACACACATATCCTACCAAACTTTCACAAACACCAACTCACCGTCAATCACATTTTCATTCATTAATTAATCCACTCAAAGCGTTTGACTACACCATTGTTTCTTCAACCAGGTCCTTGCACCCCATTGTGCATTTTCCATTCTGATTGAAATGGTTGACTGATTCAGATTGAAAAAAGTTAAATAAAGTAATTTTTTGTATGTACAATATAGAAATATTTTGGCCAATCAAGCTAAAATCAGTCAAAACCAAATCCATCTAGATCCTTGTTGTAGAAACAGGCCACACTATACATGGACTGTACCAAGTCAAATGCAAGGGAGACACAGGCGCAAGGGAAAGGGTGTTTAGGTGTTTAGCGATGCCATTGGCTCCTCTATGCGTCAATCAAACCTGGCTGAAGCGGACAGAAGCAGAGACAGGCTGAGGGGAGAGTGAAGGGCGGGATCTTACCTCAAAGTCCAGCTCAGAGTACCGTACTCTTTTCCTCTGAGGGAGGAGGGGTGAGGGGCAGGGGAAGAGAAGATTTGATCAATGTCTGTAGATCCCTGGACCCCTCCTCTAATCATCAACACACACAAACACACGCACATACACACACATACACAAAACACGCACACAAACACACAAATACGTAATGCAGGGTAAAAATGTAATTATTACGTAGTTCTGATGGCTACGTTAATGGAACATGCAACAAAGCCTTTCTTGGTTTTATTCCCACATGGTCAACATATTCTGAATAAACGTGTTCACTGTAAATTGCTTTGAATTAAACAACTTGGTGTGACCTAATGGAAGGCTGTACCTACACTAAGAGATTAATGTATGTGGTCCATTTAACAGTTAACTCTCTCTCTCTCTCTCTCTCTCTCTCTCTCAGAAACCCATTACACCACTGAGAAGATTGGCTCTACCACAGGAGGTTGGTGGCACCTTAATTGGGGAGAACGGGCTTGTGGTAATGGCTGGAACTTAATTTGTGGAATGGTATCAAATACATCAAACATGGTTTCTATGTGTCTGATGCCATTCCATTTGCACCGTTCCAGCCATTATTATGAGCCGTCCTTCCCCCAGCAGCCTCCACTGGGCCCTACAGTTAGCTGAAAGCCTTGGTCCTGCTTTTAAAGGCTGGACTTAATGATTCAGGGCTAATACAGCCAAGGTTTTATAGGCAGACAGAAAGGAAATAAGAAAAAGGCCAACATGGTCTAGAGAACTGAGGGTGTGTCTGAAATGTGTATATGGGCCCTGGTTTAAAGTAGTGCACTATCTAGTGAATACGGTGCCATTTCAGACGCAGCCTGAGTGTGTTGATGCCAAGTGAGTGCAAAAGACAGGCGATGACTCTCAGATCTCTCTCATTCAAACACTTTCTGCTGTCATCACATTGTGTATATCCTCTTACCTTCCGAAAAGCAATCCCATGACATTTGAGGATCCCAAGTACCGTACAGTACACAATCAACACCCACACATGCACTGTGTACTTAAGTGAGGGCACACATACTAACACACACATCCACCCTCCCATACACACACCCTAGTTGGAAGCATACTATCATTACCCAATGTCAAGTGTACGTGTATCTGTCAGAATATACACTCTTCTAAAAAAGGGTTCCAAAAGGGTTCTTCGGCTGTCTCTTTTTGGTTCAAGGTAAAATACTTTTTTGTTTCCAGGTAGAACCCTTTTGGGTTCCATGTATAATCCTCTCTGGAAAGGTTTCTGGATTGAACCCAAAACAGTACTACTTGGAAACAAAAGATGTCTATCCAAAAAGGGTTCTTCAAAGTGTTCTCCTATGGGGACAGCCGAAGAACCCTTGTAGGTCCTGTATAGCACCTTTTTTTCTAAGAGTGTACAGATGTAGGATCTTAATTTGACCAGTTTCTCACTGCATAAAAATAATCCTGGAGCAACAGGAAATGTGAATAATTGTGTGGATTATAATTAATGGACATTTTGGTAGGGGTTGATAAAAACATTATTTCATAAAGTCTGACATTTCAAAGTGGAAATGACAAACTTTAGAAGCCCTTTTTAAACCTCAAATATACTACAAGTTTGTGTTTTCTGTAATGCAGGACATTTCCTGCAACAACAGGGTGATCAAATTAAAATTACACCTGTTGTCCTTACTAAAGGAATGCCCACCAGCATGACATTAACAGGGAAGGAAAAAGGGAGTAATATTCATATTATGTGTGTTTGTCTTACCTACCCCTCTCCTTCCTTCCTTACACCCTCATAACTCCCTCATCTTTCACTTCCTATCAGTCTCTTCACAGTGGCAAACACCATTACAGAGCTTTTCAAGACTTTATGAAAATTGATTTAAACTACCAGACCAAAGTTTGGACACACCTACTCATTCAAGGGTTTTTCTTTATTTTTACTATTTTCTACATTGTAGAATAATAGTGAAGACATCAAAACTATGAAATGACACATATGGAATCATGTAGTAACCAAAAAAGTGTTAAACAACTCAAAATAGATTTTATATTTGAGATTCTTCAAATAGCCACCCTTTGCCTTGATGACAGCTTTGCACACACTTGGCATTCTCTCAACCAGCTTCACCTGGAATGCTTTTCCAACAGTCTTGAAGGAGTTCCCACGTATGCTTAGTACTTGTTGGCTGCTTTTCCTTCACTCTGCCGTCCGACTCAACCCAAACCATCTCAATTGGGATGAGGTCAGGGGATTGTGGAGGCAAGGTCATCTGATGCAGCAGTCCATCACTCTCCTTCTTGGTAAAATAGCCCTTACACAGCATAGAGGTGTGTTGGGTCATTGTCCTGTTGAAAAAGAAATGATAGACCCACTAAGCCCAAACCAGATGGGATGGTGTATCGCTGCAGAATGCTGTGGTAGCTATGCTGGTTAAGTGTGCCTTGAATTCAAAATAAATCACAGACAATGTCACCAGCAAAGCACCCCCACACCATAACACCTCCTCCTCCATGCTTTATGGTGGGAACTACACATGTGGAGATCATCCGTTCACCCACACTGCGTCTCACAAAGACACGACGGTTGGAACCAAAAATCTCAAATTTGGACTCCAGACCAAAGGACAAATGTCCACCGGTCTAATGTTCATTGCTCGTGTTTCTTGGCCCAAGCAGGTTTCTTCTTATTATTGGTGTCCTTTAGTAGTGGTTTCTTTGCAGCAATCAACCATGAAGGCCTGATTCACACAGTCCCCTCTGAACAGATGATGTTGAGATGTGTCTGTGACTGTGTCTGCGACTTGAACTCTGTGAAGCATTCATTTGGGCTGTAATTTCTGAGGCTGGTAACTCTAATGAACTTATCCTCTGCAGCAGAGGTAACTCTGGGTCTTCCATTCCTGTGGTGGTCCTCATGAGAGCCAGTTTTATCATAGCGCTTGATGGTTTTTGCGACTGCACTTGAAGAAACTTTCAAAATTCTTGAAATGTTCTGTATTGAATGACCTTGATGTCTTAAAGTAATGATGGACTGTCGTTTCTCTTTGCTTATTTGAGCTGTTCTTGCCATAATATGGACTTGGTCTTTTACCAAATGGGCTATCTTCTGTATACCCCCCCCCCCCCCCCCCCGCATTAAGAAGGAAAGAAATTCCACAAATTAACTTTCAAGAAGGCACACCTGTTAATTTAAATGCATTCCAGGTGACTACCTCATGAAGCTGGTTGAGAGAATGCCAAGCTGGTTGAGAGTGTGCAAAGCTGTCATCAAGGCAAAGGGTGGCTATTTGAAGAATCTCAAATATAAAATATATTTTGAGTTGTTTAACACTTTTTTGGTTACTACATGATTCCAGATGTGTCATTTCATAGTTTTGATGTCTTCACTATTATTCTACAATATAGAAAATAGTAAAAATAAAGAAAAACCCTTGAATGAGTAGGTGTGTCCAAACTTTTGACTGGTACTGTATGTTAGCTTTCACATTAAAATCTACAAATCAATCAGTCTCAATACCAAAACCTCAAACCTCTACAAAATCTAAAGCAATCAAGTCCATTTCTGTAACCTGTTACATTATGCATCTTCATCTTTGAGTTGGATTTTAAGGTGCACTGAATCTCAGTCTGGAGAGGTAATTTGTTCTGATACCCATCTCCAAATTAAGCACATTTAAACAGGTTGAAATTACTGTATTATCCAAGCATCTGATAAATGATGTATGAGTCCCAAAAGGCACCCTATTCCCTTTAAAGTGCAATACTTTTGACCAGTTGAAGTAGTGCACTATAAAGTGAATAGGATGTCATTTGGAACACAAACAGTAAGCTAAGCACAGGGAAGACCCAGTGGTCTCTCAGAGTGATGTTTGAAGATATTCAGAAGTGTTCTCATAGGCTGAGTCCCAAATTACCCCTATTCCCTATATACTGGGCCTACCCTTAGGGCCCTGGTCAAAAGCAGTGCACTAATTAGGGAATAGGGTGCCATTTTGGATGCACACATAGATCTGAGTGAGATGTTTTAATGACTGGCCTGTAATGTCTTTCATTCTAAAAGAAGCATGTGTACTTCTCTGTCCTTCAGTGTAAGTACTGTCTCCATTCCTTCATCAAGTCAGCAGGATAGTGTGTGTGTGTGTGGGTGTGTGTGTGTGTGTGTGTGTGTGTGTGTTTGTGTGTGTGTGTGTATGTGTGTGTGTGTGTGTGTGCGTGTGTGTGTGTGCGTGTGTGTGTGTGTGTGTGTGTGTGTGTGTGTGTGAGAGAGAGAGACAGAAAGAGAGGGTTTGTCTGTGTGTCTACGGCAAGTGTTTTTGTGTGTGTATGTGTGTGTAATTAAGGTGAGCAGACAGACAATCTCCAGGGGTACTCCCTGTTCTCCGGTCCCTCTCACCTCATCTGCTCTGCCTCCTTGTAGGCCTGGAGGGCTATTATAGACACACAAGTGTGTGTGCGCATGTGTGTGTTTATCCATCCGCATGAATGTGTACAGTACATCATTATAACACATAATGAGTAATAATTTATGAACAGCACTCTGTTCTCATGTACACACACAACAGACTAGTGGTTATATTTAGACCTGCACACACACACACACACACGCGCACACACGCACACACACACACACACGCTCACACACATCTGCCGCCCCTTCTCCTCTCATCCTCCTTTATGTTCCCTCCATCACTCCCTTCCTCTTTCTGTTTGTCCAGGGAGCCATCTAGCAGAGAGACTGATGTCAGCTGTAGCTATAATGCTACCCTGGTTGAAAACACTTTTCCACCCCTCTCCTCCCTTTCCTCCATCACGGTCTCTTTACCAGTGGAGAGGCTGGTGTTTGATTGGTGCTACCCTGGTTGAAAACACACATACCACCCCTCTCTACTCCTCTCCCTGTCCGTCTTTCCTTTCCTTCCTGCCTCTACCCATCGCTCCATCTTTACCTCCAGGGAGCCAGCGGAGAGGCTGGCGTTAGCGTTGGTGCTGCCCAGGTTGCGTGGGAGGGTCCGGGTGCCTCCCCCTCCTGTAAGCATCTGCCTCACCGACGGCCTCTGGGCCGGCTTCAGCTGCAGCGAGTGCCCGTGGCCGTGCACGTGGCCACCCGGAGCGTGCATGTGGCCCTGGGGACCATGACCCCCGTGCATGGGGAGCTGCTTGAGCGTCCCATAGGAGCGGTTCGTGTTCATTGCAATATTCATGCTGTGGTCGCCGGGTGAGATGAAGTCGGCCGGGTATGCCTCGCTCTCCGCCGGGTGGAGGGTCATGGGTGAGGGGGGCGGGGGGAAAGGCGGGTCGTCCACTGCGATGTTCAGGGGCTTGTCCTCGCTCCCCAGCCCCAGGCCCAGCCCCTGGGGTGGAGGGGGTTTTAGACTGACCGTCCTACGGGGTAACACCATATAGTCCC